TGTCTTCCCCTATAAGTAAAAATGAAAACTTGTTTATATTTCAATTCTTGCAGCCCCCGAGGAAAAAAAAATAAAAACAAAAAACCCTTGGTGCTCCTCTGTTGGCCTCAAAACAATCAACAAATTTCCCTTCTTCTTCTCGATTTTATACGACCAGCTCCTTCTTTTGACAACCCTTTTAATGGGATCCATCAAAATTAGCATCTCTTCCATCCTTTCTTGGATTCCCTTACATCATGTTGTATAGCTAAATCACCAAAGTCTCAAATTGAACCAAGAAAGAAAATCTCGATGACGAGTTGTTGAGCTTTATTCAGTCATGGAGGAGAGGCATGTTCTTTTTGGGAAGTATGAGATGGGGCGGCTACTGGGGAAGGGGACTTTTGCTAAAGTTTACTATGGGAAACACTTGGTGACCGGAGACAGTGTGGCTATCAAAGTTATAAACACAGATCAAGTCAAGAAAGAAGGCATGATGGAACAAATCCAGACAGAGATCTCAGTGATGCATCTTGTTCGTCATCCCAACATTGTTGAGCTCAAGGAAGTCTTGGCTACAAAGACTAAGATCTTCTTCATCATGGAGTATGTTCGAGGTGGAGAGTTGTTTGCCAAAGTAGCCAAAGGAAGGCTCAAAGAAGAAGTTGCTCGAAAATATTTCCAGCAACTAATCAGCGCGATTGATTATTGTCACAGCAGAGGTGTTTATCATCGAGACTTGAAGCCAGAGAATATGTTGCTTGATGAAGACGAAAATTTGAAAATCTCTGATTTTGGCTTGTCAGCCTTACCTGAACAATTGCTGCAAGATGGACTTTTGCATACTCTGTGCGGGACTCCTGCTTATGTTGCCCCAGAAGTCTTGAGAAAGAAAGGCTATGATGGATCAAAAGCAGATACATGGTCATGTGGGGTGATTCTCTACGTGCTTCTTGCAGGATTCTTGCCATTTCAAGATGAAAATGTTATGAAGATGTACAGGAAAATCTTCAAGGCTGAATATGAGTTTCAGCCCTGGTTTTCAACCGATGCTAAGAGATTGATTTCAAGACTTCTTGTTGCTGATCCTGAAAGGAGAATCACAATTCCCGCCATAATGAGAAATCATTGGTTTCTGAAAGGGTTTTTAAGAAAAAAAAAAAAAATCATCTTATAATCCTCAACCACAACAATCATATTATCCAAAATCCTAACAACAACATGCAACCAATTATATTGGAATATACAACCTTAACACTACTAACATGCTACAAATAAGGTTACACATTAATTTCTATCATTCTCAACTCAAATTCAAATGACAGCTCTTAGTCGAATCCATTCACATAGTTAATAATCTATGTTTGAACAATATAATGCTATTAACATAGAAAAACACAAAAAAAATGAGAGATTTTGAATACAAGTCACGCTTAATTTTCACTTATTAAGAAACTTATTAAACCCAAAATGAAATTTCCACATATCAAACAATTGATTCCTATATATATAAACAGCAATAGAAAAGAAGACACGAAGTGATTGATACCTTGATAATGTGGGAGAGATTCAGCTTCCTTGTCAAGTTAATTGAGCCTGCTAGATTGGCCAGGATAAGAAAAGGTGAGTCGTATATTGTGTTTACCAAACATAAAACCCATTAAAAATAATCTAAAAGAAGCTTTGCATCAATTTGCCTAATAATAATAAAAAAAAAAATTATCCTCTGAATTATTTTAAACTACGATACACATAATTTTTGGCTAAACATATATAGTCTTATGCTAAAATTTTTGAAGGAGAATCAGGAGATCCTACTCCATATAGGATCTGATCTTTTAGCCATGTGAGATTGTTAAGCCCTTAAGTTAGGCCTAGAAGTCATTGTGTAGTCCTTAAAATGTTTAGGATGTCTTTTTTTAGTTTAAAACTCTTTAATTATTTTTCTTAGTATATAAGTAGCTGAAAATATTTGAATAATATAAAAAATTGAAGTGGGATTCTTAGGATGGAAACCTTTTCAGCAGAATTTTAGCTTTTTAGCTTTGTTGTTTTCATTTGTGTTAGTTTATATCAAAACTTTTCTTATGTTGTTTTTGTCTTGTGTCCGGGCTACATTAATTGATATCAAAACTACGTTAAAAAAACCTTGCAAAACCCAACAACAAAACCACCCATGAAGTCAGCCCCCACAATCTTTATCCTTAACGATACCCCAAATCCAAACCAGAAATTAAAAATAAAATCTCAAACTTAAAGAGCTAGTGCATCCAGCTTCTTTCAAGAACAAAGCAAATCCATAGCTAGTGGGTGCTGTATGGAAGAACCCTAGAGTCGCCAAGTTGAAAGAATTGTCTAGAATCTTTTCTGACTAGTGGTTGTTTGTCTTTTGGGATAGAGAGTGCATGGTGGGTGAAGGGAGTGGTAGTAGTCATGTTGATATAGTGGTGGGCAAAGGAGAAATACTTGGTTTTGATTTGGAATCCAAAGCAATGGAAGGAGGGATAAGAAGATATAAAAATATAAAGCGCACTTTGAATATTAAATCAATTATAATAACAATTGTAGGTCAGTATATAAGGTTTTCTCAACTAAATATGCAAAGTATAACTTTTAAATGTCCAAAGGAAAAGCTCAAGGTTTTAGGTAATTTTTCGAAATTACTTGTAACTATAGTCTCATTTAATAGATCCATAAATAGTCTTTTAATAGTTTTTTTTTTTTAATGATGTAGCTCAACCTTCTTAATTTTTTTTTTTATAAGGAGGCACAACAATTTAGTTTTTTCTTAGCTATGCTATAGTTCACAGATTATTTTTATTAACTTTCCTAATTTTTTTTAATTCAAATATATTAAATCTAATAATTTGTTAAATTTATAATGATCCGGCTCAATTCATCACTATATTCAAGTATATTAAGTTTGACATCTTACTAGATTCATGGTTATTTAAGTTTAATTTATAACTAAATTCAAATATATTAGATTTAATATCCTAATAGATCCATGTTTAATCAGGTTAATATTTTATCTATGGTTTTGGATTGTTTGGAAACATAAAAATATTGACTCTTTAACAGTAGAGAAAAACAAGTTTGGACCATTCACGGGGATGAAAGTCCTATTAAACATTCGGTACCACTCCCATCTACCTTTCGTTCTAGCTAACTAAGTTGTTCATGGCTTCTTCTTTGCTTAAAATTGAAAGTATTGGTTCTTTAAAAACCATAGTCTAACTATGAACTTCTTCTTCTTCTTTTTTCTTCCTCTTCTTCTTGATTTTTAAGCTTAGGATTTTTTCAACTTTCCGTGCTTACAATTTTTTTTTTATGATTTAATAAAAAACAGACTACCCATATTTTTTTTTTATTTGATGGGTTATTTTAGAGATAAAATTACGTGATATTCCATCGGAGATTGATTAGTTAAGTATGGAAACTTTTTATGCATGGATGGGATCATGATGCTGAACATATACATTTGGGAATTTTATAAGTTTTTTCACATACATTATTTCGAATACTTTATTTGAGAATTTGGAAGGATGCGTTGACATCAAGACTAAAGACAGTGTAAATGTCAGGGAGCAGCATCGAGCCCTAAAGCTCCTGGTGAAAATGATACATGGATTATGATCTATGCATCCCAAATAAATAAAATCATGCTGATAAGACACAAATTATATATAATTAATTTACAACCTTCTGAATATATATATTAAATAAAATCTTTGTCATGGCATGTCGGGTAACAAAGCATCAAGCACCCTCAATCCTGTTATAGATCTTGCGATTGATGAGTGATAAATCTCTCAAGTCTCTTCATTAAAGATACTTTTTAACTTTTCAAGCGAACTCCTTAAGCAATTTCGATTTGTTTATATATATATATATATATAAGGATAAAATCCTTCTATATTTCGATTGTTGAAATGCAATTGGTATATAACAGTTTTTTTGTTTCAAAAGCAAGATTCATAAAATAGAACTTAGTTATTTAGTTATTGTTAGAGGATAAAAAAAAAATATTTAGTTGAAGAGATAAAAATGAAAACTTAAAATAAATATGTTTTTAAGATAATTTTAAAGTAAATTTATGTATTTTTAAAACATGAAATACATGAAAATATATTCTCTCTATTTTTATTGCCCCATAACTTTTATCTCAAAACAATAACTAAATAATATTTAAAAACTTGATAATATCTAATGAATTATTAATCCTATTTATATTTATAGTTTCGTAATGGTATTGATCCATGCTTTTCAAAAAATTTAAACTTTATTTTTTGAAAAAGCTTCATTAATATATTTTTTAGCTTTTTTATTATTTTGATATGTGATGTTAAAAATACTTTTAAAAAAAAATTATTTTAATATATATTTTTAAAAAATCCTATAATACACTAACACAGGCAAAAAAAAAAGAAAAAGAAAGGGAAAGGGAAAGGTAATGAATTACAATCAATGTCTAGAAATAAAAACAAAATCAAATTGTGCAGATTTGCCCACTTGAATTTGGGCCTATCACTAAGATAAAATAGGCCCAATTTCTCAAGAAGAGACAGAGTATGCCTACTGCCAAAAATGCAAAAGGGCATAATGGGCCTGGATAACTTTAGAAGAAAGCCTATGGGCTTGCATCAACTCAGTTCTATAGCTTCAATTTTTTAGCTCTCACCAGCCCAAGCCATGATTCTTGAATTGCAATTAAAAAGAAATTGGATCATAATTCAAGAAAAATTATATTTCTCTCCTTGTTAGGTCATGTCCAAGTGACCGATTCAAGAAAAATTTAGGGCTAGATGGGTGGTAAGTGAGGTAAGTTGACACCATAAATCACCACAATTAAAATAAGTTAAGAATCTATGTGTCTGAAAAGAAAATAATTTGATTTTTTAATGTGTTTTCTGATATTTTTAATATATTCATGTTAAAAATAAAAAATAATCTGAAAAAAATATTTTTAATACACTATTGAAAACATTTTTGCAAGATAACCGTGAGTTGTATTGCCCAATATATTAGATATGAGAAACAATTAATGGAGCCCAAAATGGTAGTCCAAGCCCAAATATTTTGTGCATGCTAGAATTTTTTTATTCTTTACCCTTAAGAACAAAGATATGGACACCATCAGAATTTGTACTCATACCCTCTATTCCGATTTAAAAAAAAAAGATTAAGAATAAGTTGGTGTTTAGAACTATTGGAAATTATTACTGTTGCTGTTTTCTATTGTTATTAGGGCTGATGCTGGGTTTTAGTAGTTAAGATTATAGTTATAAAATTTAACTTGTCGTGAGATTAGGGTTATTGGTTGGATAATTCAATTCAAAACTAAAATAATATTGTTTTAATTTAGTTTTTAAAATAAACATTAAAGTAAAGTTATTTTAATTATTTGTTTTTGAACCTTATCCCAGTTTTATCTCTCGGTCTGACTATTTTAATAAACTTTTATCCTGGTTCAACTTTCAAATCCAACTAAATGTAACTCATCACGTTATAGGTTAAGAGAGAGAAATTTTATTTTATTCTTGGAATAATTGCAAAAAACCTGCCCTTTCATCGTCTTAGTTGTCGCAAGTGCTTATATGATATTGCAACATCGTGATTAAAGAATCATCGCTTAATATTTTAATTTAGAGTTATTAAAAGATATTAATAGAATTATTTTACCGTGAATAAAAGTGATGAATAACTAAAATAATTTTAGGAATTTTCAAATTAATTTCTAATATTTAAATGTTAATCTTCTTGTAGGTCTAACATCCTTACTAAAATATTAACTATTAATTTTCATTAATCAAAATTTTAAGAAGTAATTAAAATATTAACAAAGTTCTTATTGATTCAATAAATTAGTTATTTTTTAAATTTTTATGTTATATATAGTAGGTGGTAAAAACCAAAAAATCCTTTTTTTCTATAATATAACTTAAATTTATTTACAATACTGATGAGCCAAAAAAGATATATACTATATATATGGAATATATACAAAAAATGAAAAAATTAAAAAACAAATTTTTTTTTTGTTTCGCAAACTTTTTTATGTGTATGTAAATTTACAAAATTTAAGAAATAACTACTCACTCACAAATAAAAATAAGGAAATACATTTGTGGGTTCTATTCTAAATTCTAATATCTAATAGTAAAATAGAACTTGTGT